AACCTGGAAATTGACTCAGGGCATAATACTGGACAATCATAGTCAAACAACTTCGGTGGGTTTGTTTTTTTGTTGTTGTTGTTTTAGCATCACAGCTTTGTAACAGTTTGTTAACATGTACAGCTTGCTGGGCTCTACACTCAATACTTTTGACACACGTTTTTGTTGACTGCCGTTGAGTTCAGCATGACTCATAGCGACCCTATGAACAAAAGACATGAAACCTTTCTATAACGATCGCTTTTGGCACTAGCAGTCAGTAAATCAAAAGACGAAATGCATGGGGTAAATATGCTGCCAGGGACCTTTCCAGAATACTACGAAGCAACAATGTCAGGCTAGAGACTAAGATGCACCTGATCCAGGCCATGTCTTCGCAATTATTTTCTATGCATCAGAAAGCTGGCCAATGACTAAGGATGACATAGAAGAATTGGTATCTTTGAGTTGTGGTGCTGGAGAATAGTCTTGAACATATCATTGATCACCAAGAAAACAAATACGTCTGTCTTAGAGAGGACGAAACCAAGTTTCTCCTTGGAGGCTAGGATTTTGAAGCTCCATCTCACATACTTTGGACACGTGGCCAGGAGGGACTGATCCTTGGAGAAGAATAATAACTCTTGAAAAGGTTGAAGAATGGCACAGAGGAGGAAGACCCCCAGATGAGATAGACTGATACAGCAACTGGGGCAGTAGGGGTAGGTGTGTCAGAGTCAGTGAGACTGGCTCAGGACAGGGCAGACTTCAGAGCTGTTGTGCATGGGGTCACTATGAGTTGTAGGTGACTTGACGGCATATAACAAAAACAACAGCTTTGTATTATGCATTTTCCATTATCTGAAAACGACTGTATGATTCTATTCTAGTGCAAAGTAGCTATGCAGGAGTCTGGCAGAAATAACTGTAGTGATGGCTACATAGTGGAGTGGACCTGGGGGAGGGTTTGTAAAACAATGAAAGAATTTTTCTTTTACTTTTCCAAGAGGTAGTGTTCTGGGCGGGGGGAGCCTTGGGAGGGGA